CAATCTCGTAGATTTTCACATGCCACAACTTTATTTTATTGTCGAGAAACGCGACCATGTGCTTACGGCCCTTGGAAACGGTCCATAAATAGATAAAATAAAGTTACATTAATCAATCATGGTCTAAAAGTCTCTGAATCTGTTCAACATAGTTCGACACGTATCGTTAGATTCGTTACACAGAGATTCTCGATGACCTCGTTCTTCGTGCCATCTGTTTCCACCCACCACGTAAACAAGCTTCTAATCTCCGTCCATTTATCCCCTCTTTTCACGTGTCATCATCGAGTGCAATCCTTTACCTAAAATATCTTATCCCTGACATTAAAAAAAAAATACCTTATATAGACCGCAAAACCAGAACCCATGTTCATGGGCGTGACATGTTATTTGAGAAAACAGAACTCATTAGATAATGTTTTTAATTCGAATATTCATTACGTGAAATTCCATTTTATTTTTGAACTATACATCATTAAGTTTTAATTACGAGGGGACTATATATATACAAATTCATTAAAAAGTCCGTATAAACGCCACAGTTTCTGTTGCTCAACTCTTAATAAATTAGAAGCAAGCTTTGAAGAAAAAAAATGCACTATCAAGAACAAATGGAGTCTCTTATGTTAGGTGAAGAACGCAGACGAGGAAACTGCGTTCGAGACGCAGACGCGGAAGCAGAAGACGGTTTTAACTCTCCCTCTTCTTTTCCAAACTCTCCTGATGATTCGGACCGTCGCAGTTCGTCTTCAAGGTAAGAAGAATCAAGGAGTCTCCTTTTCTTGCCCTTGATTTTATATCTTGCTAGAATAAACCCCAAGAATTAGGGTGTTTTCTGAACAATATTATAATTCAGGGATATAATATAGAAATATTTCATTTATGGGGACTTCAGAGGAAGAAGTTTAGAAACTTATATTTTCACTTTGTTCCAATTTTTTTTGCATAGGTTGTAAATTTACCCCAAGATTTATGTTTTGGAAATTTTCACAACAGGAGAGGATTATCGAAACATTACAAAGGAAAATCACAGTCATTCACATCGTTGTCGGAAGCACTAACCGTAGAAGATCTCGCGAAACCTGAGAATCCATTAAACGCAAAGCTGAAGCAGCGACGAGAAAACCCTCACTGTCGACGATTCTCCGGATGCGGCGGAGCATCGGAGAGAAATCTAAGCGGTCACGACGTTTTTCTCGCCGGAAACGATAGACCACCGCGACTTTCCGGCAACAGACCGCCTCTGAGAGCTCAGACGCTATCGGCCACTCAAATTTCGTCTTTGCTCACTCGAACTTAAACCGGAAAGTGTCAGCCTTTTTTTTATCTATACCGGAACGGAACCGGGTTTTCGTTTGGGATGATGTATTTTCAAGCTTCCGAAACTTCGATTTGTATAAGTGCTCGACTCTTATCATAAAATCTGTAATATTCAGTTTAATTTAGAATTAGCTCTAGCCTACACTTAATCGTATATATATATATAAGTAATTTATTAATTTAGGTATTCATACTCATCATAATCTTTGTCCCTTTTAATTTCGGTCAGGAAGATGATCTGAATTTTGGTTGTGATTAAAAAGGGATTACGTATAAATGTTAAGAAAAATCCTCCTTTATCCTGGAACAACTTGGGCTAAACTTGGAGTTGCGCTTCGTTATAATGGGCCGTAATGGGCTTTCGTGATATAAAATGTCTCTTCGCCTAATAGCTTCATTTACAATCCTCCTTTTTCCTAACTGCTACAATTTCTATCATGTAATTTTTTTTTTTTTTTCACAAAACTACCCAATCTCACATGTTTCATTTCAATTTCCATTTCAAATTTTAGTTTTTAAAAAAAAAAATTATTACCATAAACTATATTTGAAAGAGGAATTATGCCACTGTGGAGCAGCGACTGTTATAAAAGAACAAACATACTTTATGTAAATGTAGGTGTATAAAATCTTATGGGGTATATTTCGAAAGAATTAATAGTTAGAGGCTTTTTTGTATTTCTCAA